AAAGTTCGAAATTTTAATGGTTTTTGAAGTACTGCAGCGAACCCACAAGGCTTTCAAGGGCGGAAACTTAGATTTTTTATATTGCATACCTAGCAATATATATATATATATATATATATATTTTTTTTTTTCTTAATGATATTTACAACTGTATTAAAGAAATAAATTTAGTAAATTTGAACATATGGATATAATGACGTGAAAACAGTTGTTGAGAAATTACCCAATGGTACCACTCTGATTAGGAGATCGCGGGACCATCTTCTTTTCAGATGCCTAGGGGTTATCAGGAATTGAAAAGGAAGAAAGGTTAGAAACGAGAGAGCTGGGATGATTCTGAAGTTTATTATGAAAAATAGGTATCTGGATAGGGGCAGATCTGAAACATTAAGGTCATGATGGACGGTTTTATTTGTAACAAAGTAGGGAGCATTGAGGATTTTACGAAGGATTTTGGACTGCAAGGATTGGATACGAGAGGAATTCGATGGCTTAATGGAGCCCCAAAGCTCAACTCCAATAGTCCTTATTATAGTCATGTATATGAGTCTTTTGTAATTAATTGGAAGTTTAGAGCGTTTGTCTAGTAAGTGCTGAAGTAATCGAAAACGTCGAGCGGTTTCTTGTCGTCTCAGTCTGTTATGAGAACTAACAATATAAAAAAGAAATTTGAATTACTCGACCTTTTGCAAGCTAGACCTCTGACTGGACTAGTCAAATAAAACTAAGTGTTTAGTGGAAGGGACCTCAGCTTAAAGCTCAGTATTTAGTGCAACTGTGGTAACGACAGAGTGGACAAAATCTAGTATTAATTTTATAATAAATCAAATACGTTAAAAAATATCAGAAATAAAAAATAAATGAATGAATTTAATGAAAAAAACAGTTAGTTAGCCGCTAAAGACCCGCTCGGGTAGATGCGGAATGTAAAAATAAATAAATAAATAAATAGTTAGTAATAGCAAAAATATTACTAAATAAAAAAATGAATAAGATCTTAAATAACGCTAATATTAATTTTCTCTTATTATAATAAATATATAAGGAGCTATGGATAAACATTTTACAAAAGATTACTTGAATGTTAGTGAAGAGATTAAAAAACCTGGCAAACGCCAGTATTTCTACTAGTTGCACAAAACAAGTAAACGTTAATTAATGATAATATTAAAATGCTGCCTTGTGCCATACAATTTGAATGAACACAAAAGCTATTGAAAAAACGAATAATGAGGTAACTAAATACACAAAGCTCTCGAGAGGGAACAGTAACAATTCGAATAAGGTCGGGCTCAGAGAAGATCCTTGGAGTAAGCAGCAAAAGTAAATATCTACCAAAAATTGAATGCCGGTCGTTTAAGGTCTCGTAATTCATAGACAAGGGGTCTCTCTGTCCCATCGAGTTGTTTTTTCTTAAAGACCGAACCCTTGAATAAAAAAATATAAAATTTCTAACTCGCAAGAAATTGCTAGCCAATTACTAAACATTTTTGTTTGTGTTATTTAAACGGTAAAACAGTAGAATGGTTTCACGACAAAATATAAACATAAATAAATAAGAGAATAAAATAATATGCTGATTTTAATCATTGCTGTAAACCAAATATTATTTGTTTTATGTAGCGACTTAAACCAGAAATATTGCGTAGTAAGCGCCTACTATTTTATAGTGATGCGAGTAAGGAAAAAGGTGAAATATCGATGATTATTAATTTCGATATTTTTGCCTGATGTATACATATATTTGAATATATCGATTTTAAAATTTGAATTTCTAAAACAGATATTTAAAGAAATATATATTTAAATTAAAATGAAGGAAAACTGCCTCATTGGTGACAACATCAATGTGATAGTATTTATTAACTGCACTACTTCAAAAATATTGCTTAATTAATGATATCCTAGTAACGGAAATTTAATCTGAGAACTAGAAAGTTGATATCAAACCTTGACCTTAAATTGTTTTAAATACAGAAACTTATATCAGTACTATTTACTGTTCTTTAATTGTAAGAAGTAGTTTAATAAGTGTTAATACTTTTATAGACGTTTAACAATTATAAAATCAATTGATTGATTCATTGTAATATTATTATATATTTTAATGACAAATATTAAAAAATCAATATTTTTATCCAATAAGCAATAAATAAATATTCAATTGTTGCTATCAAGGTGAAAACCAATCTAAGACTTCAATTCAATGTTAGCCTTCAGTTAAAGATAAAAAAAACATGGCGTCCCGAAATGTCAATAAGAAATATATTGAAATACCAATATAACTGAATTATATATATATATATATATATATATATATATATATATATATCGTTCTTATTCTATATATATATCGATATCTATATACCTAATTGTGGTCAATTAAATGGTACAGGCTCTGAATTGGGTGGGCTAAGTGGACCCAGATTAATTATAATATGTATTTCTATATATGTAATATTTATATCTCTATGGGCTCTCTATTTCTATATATTGTAGCAAAAATATAGTGGATTGCAGAAAAAGTAAGTTGGACAAAAACCTAACTAGGGAAAAACGTCGAATACCGTAAAAAAAAAGACAACATAAATATTGTCATAGGAAACGAGTATGGATAAGTATATAGCTTAGTTACTTACAATCAATTCATTTTAGTGAAGAATGATTTTTTTTAATTTATAATTTTTATAAACTCAAATTATCTTTCTGAAGTCACAATATTATTATTCGGAAGATGAACTAGCCTTCACATCGGATCAGTGGTAGAGAAGTGTATCAGAGGATTTACATCGCTCTTTTAAAATTGAACATGCAAAATTTTCTTTCCTTAAAGTACTGTTAGCTTTAATGCCGTGGTTTGACTTCGGCATAGAGTACAGCGAACGCAATTTCACCTTTCACCGAGCTGATATATAAGCTTGTAATGTATACCCTATCACTACTTAAGAAACAACCGCCAACTAATTCAGAAATAATACCACCCCAGATTGAAGTTATACTGTCCTAATAGACTTTCCGAGGCCGACCACATCTCCACGATGATCCCATCGACTGCCATGGTAGTTTAATAAGATGGGCCGATTCATAGGCACCGAGGGAGATAGTCGACCACAAAGTTATTATCTCTATTAACTAGTTAAGTATTCCGCATACCTAACTGTTGAGTATGTCCGCATTTCTAAGTTTTAGAAAGGACCCTTACACGGTTACACCATTTCGAAGGTCCTGATAACAGCCACCAGAAACTTAGCGAGGAGTTAACGATAATTTTTTTAAAACAGTGGGTAATCACAATTTTCTTTAGTACATTAATACAAAACTAAGATTAACACCCATGCGAAAACACTCATGTCATAGCTTCCTACAGTAGATTAATACAAAACTAAGATTAACACCCATGCGAAAACACTCATGTCATAGCTTCCTACAGTAGATTAATACAAAACTAAGATTAACACCTATGCGAGAACTCTCATATCATAGTTCTCTACAGTAGAATAATACAAAACTAAGATTAACACCCATGCACGGGCGGATCTACGGGGGGGGGGGGGGCTTTCGGGCTGAAGCCCCCCCCCAAAATGGTAAAATATAACCATGTTTTATCGGAAAAAATACTAAAAAATTATCTCTTAAAGTATAATTATTCGTGTAATTACATTTAAAAGGGCTTTAGGAATCACTTAAACACCAGTTCGTATAGGTACTTATTACTATACTTATTACTTCGTATAGTTTCTTTCGTATTTTCCAAAGTAATTATCGTTACTTTTATGAAAAAAAAAGCTTTCGGGCTGAAGCCCCCCCCCCCAAAATTAAATCCTGGATCCGCTAGTGCACCCATGCGAGAACTCTCATATCATAGTTTTCAACAATAGATTAATACAAAACTAAGATTAACACCCATGCGAGAACTCTCATATCATAGTTTTCAACAATAGATTAATACAAAACTAAGATTAACACCCAGGCGAGAACTCTCATATCATAATTTTCAACAATAGATTAATACAAAACTAAGATTAACACCCATGCGAGAACTCTCATATCATAGTTTTCAACAATAGATTAATACAAAACTAAGATTAACACCCAGGCGAGAACTCTCATATCATAATTTTCAACAATAGATTAATACAAAACTAAGATTAACACCCATTCGAAAACTCTGAAATCAGATAGCCATCCTTCATAATGCATTCGAGGTATAAGCCACATCAGCGAAACATGTTTATTTGTATCCAAAATAAAACATTATCGAGATAGTCTATTCAACATAAACAATTGGTGAACCTTTATGCTTTAAAACGCTGATAATGGGACCATTTACTTAATAAGTGATATGCTTGTTACATTGGAAAACGAACCTCCAGTTAAACGGTTAAACAATAACACACAGCCATCCCTGACTTATTTTTTGGTCCAGAAGAGCCTTGGTATAAAGTTTGATCCCTTACTAAGATTATAGAAGTTTATTACTGAGAACATAGAATAATTATCTGGATATTTTTTTATTTATAAACTTTTATCTAGTTTCCATCCGTCGACTTTCGAAATCATCTGAGTTTTGAAACCTTCCAATTTTTTCAATAACTTTTATTGTAATTTTTGTAAGATTTTAAGTTTTGGAATTGGCTTTGGTCATTTTTCCGTGAAATTCCCTTTCGTTTGATACCACATTAATCAAAATGCCACGCCCCTGAGAGACGGAAAAGGGATCTATACTATCGCATTACATATAGCGCTGAACATACAAATGAAAATTAGTTTACAATATAACAAAAAGAAAATATTGCTAACTGGAAACATAACAATATCAATTAAATTCTCGAAAACAATTCATGATACAATTACATTACCATGGTACCGTCAGCACAAACCGATAACACGTTAACTGCTATCTACATTAAGTATGTATATTTATGAATTTAAATATTTATGAAATTAAATAGAAATCTAAGCAAAAAATCAAACTTAGATTTGATAAAAGCAAACTCCAGACATGTTGGTGAAGTGCCCGGAGCGGATGGTGGGTTCTTTGTCCGGGCGGAGGCTACGAAGGGACAAGGCATTTCCTGGCCACCACACTCCGGCATCTCTACCTCCCTTTGTAGTCCTTCTTTTGTCCGGGGCTCGTCTCCGAACAGAAGTCGTCTCTCCAGGCCACGGCTATCACTTCACCGATCTAGCAGCTTATCGGACGGAATACCAGTACAATCGGATGTAAGCCAACGACGATCCGGGATAACGCAGCGCAGGACATCCGCTGATAAGGTACCATCCCCACGACTGTCTTGGATTGAATAAAATGTGATACATTTGAGGAGGGTATGACGAGGAGATAAATTTTGTGGGAATCTGCATTTATAGTTTGCAAAATTATAGAATCAATCATGAATAGTAATTAAACGTCAATACTAATAATCTCATATCTATATCAACTTAGCAATGCAATTGTTATGGCGGATATTGACACATGAAGAGTTTGTTCGATTTTTTTCCAAAGCAAGCTCAAGAATAGGAAACCATATATAATATCTGCAATTTGCCATTTTTACTAGATTTCGAGGAACAAAAGATTTAAGCGCACTTTTAGTCATCTTTACCAGAAGTCTTAGTCTTTTAGTCATCAATAACAGAAGGGAAAAAAAAACAAAAATATCAACTAGGCACAAGTAAGAATAGAAGTGGGACATAAGCAGTGATTCACCAGGATATGATCTAAGATGGCCATGGGTTTGCATTCCCGACCTAATCATGAATTTTCATAACTAATACTCGCTAATTAAAAGAAGAGCTGTCCATAGTTCAACTAAATGTAGTTGCATCAGTCCAATCGAGATAGATAAATTTCTTTCAAACAACACACTGTAATTAATAAATATTTAAAACAGCCTTGAGAATCGAGTACCCGTAACATCCGTTCCTCTTCAACTCTCTGTCCTTCAAAAAGAAAATATTATTCATAAAAAATATCGTTGGTTTATTGCAAAACATCATTAAGTGACATTTCATAACCTTAAATAATTAAGAACTTTGAAGTATTTTCACTTTATGAAATAAGAAAATTTTGGTCGTAGTAGTAATTATAATTATAAAAAAGTTTGTATTATTTTCACAAAAAAAAAACTTGCAAGTTGCAATAAACCGACGATATGAGCTATATACTATATAAAATTAATACTTAATTAAAAATGTAAAATACCTAACAGAATATATCAATCACGGCTTATCAAATTGAAATGATTGAAGTAACCACAGAAAACTTTTATATTCAAATTTTATATTCAATTTCCGCCTGAGCGTTTGTATTAGAGGTGGTGGAGATATAATAGATGGAAAAAAATTGGCAAATATAAAAGATTCATCAATGGATTGTTTGATCAATTCCAAAATCTTCTCATTCAAAAAATATAACACATGAAAAATGAGTTTTTGTTTTAATTATGCATCTAATCGAAATAGGACTGTTATAATAATATTAAAGACAAATTTAATGTATGTTAACATATTTCAAATAAATTTATTATTAATCTATAATTGTATACATCTTACTTTGAAGCAAACTAATCACAGCTTCCACTGAATATTAATAACCTCCTTGGTAACGAATTGGTCACATGGGTTAAATACTTACCACTTTCTGCAGGCATTATACCTCCCCCGTTCAGAATTGGTAAGCCGCAGGTCAGTTACGCATTCAGGATTTAATTTTTAGAGGGCTAAACTTTATTTATGGTATATGTATATATATATAAACATAATTATATAATTGGAAATAAGGTCACTTATTAATTATTCAATAAACTACTAAATGTTCATTGCTTCTGTGTTTATGTTTTTTTTTATTAGTTAACAATGGATTCCTCTTCAAAGTTATAAAATAGAGCTCCTCTAAAAAGATATATATATATGTTTTTTTTTTTTTTTTTTTTTTTTTTTACCCAAACATATACCCTCCCTCCTTATGGCTTCACCGTAATCGAGTAAAAGTAGATATTGTCAATGTTATTGTAACCTGAAACTATATAAATCACTTTTCTATTTTCTGGAATAAAGGGGACTTGAGCTTGATTTCTCTAGAGCCGCAGGTTAAGTAGTCGGCAAGTTGAAAATTATACCATATGAAAAATGTTACAATTCCAAAGTAATCTCTTTATATGGAATATTATATTAAATTCCGAAAATGATGACATTAAACACATTCAAATAAACTTTAAAATCACTCTACAAAGTTAAAATGCTACCAATGTAACAAATACCAAGACCTCGTCTTTATTAACACACTAAATTCAGTCTGTTAGTTATAAATTCACATTTAAAAGTAGCTAATTGGTTTAAAACAGGCCTATTTGAAACAACTGCTAATAAGAAACAAACTGAAGTAGGAAAGAGGCGAACGGGATTATTTTTAAACAGGAAAATATAAATAAATAATAAAGTAGGATACAGGCAGAGTGAATAAGGACCAATACGCTTAGCGGTGGTATATGGAAGCGTACAAGTTGGAGGCAACATAAAAAGGCAGCTGGAGATATTAAGAGCAGAGAGGTCAAACGCCTTTGTAGGTCGCAACATGGGAGTTGTCCCGCCCTTCCAACGGTACCCTATACAACAACATTTTAATATAATTCGTGTTTATTTTAAACAACGTCCATTATTTTGTACAACATATGTACACCGACCACCTTTCAGCACCAAGAACTGATTGCTTAATAAAATCCAATATAAATGTTTAAATCAAGAAAAAAGTTGAACCTATATATTTTTTGCAGTATATAACGCGATATCAAGGCTTCTATTAAATCAATATAAAAATACACGTTTATCTATCAACCATATAAGTCTAAAACCCAATCTATAATATAATAACCTATAATTTAAAGTGCGCGCTTTCTACTATTTCAATCTTGGGCTAAATCTAATTGTTAAGGAGTGTTTGGATTTCACAAATTAAAGTACAAACAAATATATAAATGGTTATTTCACTATACTATTATTTTCGTTTCTTGTTTTCGATATTTTCCATCTGCTGTCGGTATCAAAAGAAATAAAATAAATAGTTTGGTTTACCAATAATTGTGTTTCCCGTAGTTAATTAAATCTCTAAAAGCACGTTTATCAAATTATTAACATCCGTCTAAAACTTCGTAAATAGCTTCGTCTCATCGTAACCTGCAAATATTTTATTTACGAAAATTCTCGGAATTGGGGCGTTTTCAATCTAGAGATGAGGAAACTTTGTATATTTAATTAGTAACTGAAAACTGATGAATGCATTTGCTTTACACTCGAATCGTGAGATAATATTATCACCAAGTTGAAAAAAAAGATGGCCTACAAAAATATTGGTCCGTTTGGCATGACCTCCACCCCCAAAATGTCGAAATAATGAGGTTATATGGAACAAACGGCCCAATATTTTTGAAGGCCACCTTTTTATTTTGTTTACTTTACCTCGAAAGATTCCCTCCCCCGTAGATCCGTCTATGCTTAGGACTGTTTGAATAATAATCATACTTTGATGAAGAGAATGAAAATCATATCCTAATTAAAGCACAATAGATTTGCGCTTAATTGCAATTTATTTCTGTATAAAGCAACAAACGTTACGAAAAACACATTATATAAATAATAATTGGTAAATGGTTGACTGTCGTGAATAATGAAGAGAAAAATAGTTGGGGTGATCAGTCAAAAAAGAAGGCAAAAATAAATGATACTATTTATTTTGATATTAGCCTACGTTTCGACCTGAAGTTCAGGCCATCATCAGGGTTAAGAAAAGATCTTTTCTTTAATTAATCTTAATCATCTTTTCTTTTCTTAGCCCTGATGACGCCCTAAACTTCAGGTCGAAACGTCGGCTAATGTCAAAATAAATAGTATCATTTATTTTTGCCTTCTTATTTGACTGATCACCCACAACTATTCTTCTCTTCATTATATAAATAATAAAATAACAATTAAAATAATTGTAATACAAATCATGAAAATATAACTTCGATCCTCGAACGAACGGTATCTCAGCGGTCTATAAATATTTTTAAATACTAAAGGACAGTGAAAACGAAATGCCGAGCTAAAATCCCTTCGGAATTTTTGATGTCTAAGTTGTAGACAAAACCAAGAATTGAATTTTGCCGGTCATATCTGGAAGGGAACTTTTCCCTTGCTTTTCATTATCCTACGAATAGGACAGTGAATTTCTTTCTTCGAGTTCTGTATCTGGCAGATCAATTAAGAATTCCTGATATTTTCTTGTTAGGTCGTAGCAAATTGAAAAAAATAAAAATTAACTTTTTGACCCACTCTGCCCTAGCAGATAACCTTTAATATTGCAATGATAAGTAAGTTTTCAAACACCTCCAACCAAGTAGTCATCTTTCTGGAATTCTGACTCATTACAGAGTTATTATTTCTCCAACTAGAAGTTTATTGAAATGATTTCCTCAATATTTTCTTCTCTTCCCTCCGCCAATAACGAATCCATTCAGATTTCATGAAGTAATTCGCAAAAAGAAAACAAAATATTCTCGAACCAATTATTACAATATGAACATATACATATGAACCAATATGTACGTAAAGTACATCATTTTTAATAAATAATAATTTAATAGTTACAAACTAGTAACAGCGACTGGACAAGATGACCGAAACCAAACAATCGCAGTTGCATCCATAGCCTAATTCAGGGATCACCAAAGTTTTTGGCCTGCAGGTCAAATTAAGAACAAATTCAGTGAGCAATTGCTTGTGATAGTAAAAACATCGATAAATCGATATTTAATTTAAGTTAATAGCAATTTAGTAACTTTTTATAATTGATTTTTAAAAAGCGAAACAGCGGTTTGATCGAGTCTGGCATCTGGGACAGCTTTACTAACTTTATAATTCCTACAACCTAGATACTTCCTCATTATCCGTTCCTATCTTTCTGATAGATACTTCAAAGTAAATCACAGTTATGCCAATCCATCTATCTTTTACCATACTGCTGGTGTTCTTCGAGATAGTATCACATGTCCTATCTTTTACACAGTGTATACAGCAGACATCCCAACCCATCATAACAGTGTCATCACCACATATGATGTACCACCTATGCAACACAGTGGGACGAGTAAGAGGAAAACTCGCGACATCATTTGCACCATTCAATATTTGCACCATGCGGTATCGAAAGTTAACTATGTTACGTAGTTTGCATTTATTGTTTGTTATGTAGCTATAAAAATAGTGAGGAAGCTACACTTACTCGTTTTTCAGACGATTATGTTTTGTTTTCATCTCCTTTATAGCAG